TTTGGTGGCCAAAATATTTGAGTTTCATCTTCAGTATCTGGCCTTCCAGGGAAGAGTCAGGGTTGATTTCTTTTAGGATTGACTGTTTTGATCTCCTTGCAGTCCAAGGGACTCTCAAGAGTCTTCTCCGGCACTATGGTTCGAAAGCATCTGTTCTTAGGGGCTCGGCCTTCCTTGTGGTCCAACTCGCGCAGCCATACATTACTACTGGGAATATCATTGCTTCGACCATACCGACTTTTGTTGGCAGGGTGATGTCTCTCATATCATGAGCTACTCATTGCAAAATTCTGAAGAAAGTTGGGAAAACCACTAGGCCATTCAGGTCTGATCTAGATCACATCCCTTATGAATATACACTGGAGGTGAAGAATAGGTTTAAGGGCCTAGATTTGATAGACAGAGTGCCTGAAGTACTATGGACAGAGGTTCATGACATTGTACAGGAGGCAGCAATCAGCACCATCCCAAAGAAACAGAAATGCAAGAAAGCAAAGTTCTGTTCTGATGAGGTTTTATAAATAGCTGAGGAAAGCGAAAGGCAAAGGTGAAAAGGAAAGATTTACCCAACTGAATGCAGATTTCCAGAGAATGGCAAAGAGAGATAAGGAGGCCTTCCTGAATGAACAATGCAAAGTAATACAGGAAAACTATAATGGGATCTCTTAAAGAAAACTGGAGAAACCAAGGGAATGTTCCATGCAAACCTGGCCATGATAAAGGACAAAAATGGTAGGGACCTAACATTAGCAGAAGAGATTAGAAAGAGATGGCAAGAATACACAGAAGAACTATACAAGAAGGATTTTTGGCCACTGTGTGACTGAGTGTTGGACTGGATGGGTCATTGGCCTGATCCAACATTGGCTTCTCTTATGTTCTTATGACCTCAATGTCCTTGAAAACCACGGTGGTGTGATCACTGACCTCGAGCCAGACATCCTGGAGTGCAAAGTCAAATGGGCCTTAGAAAGCATTACTAACAACAAAGCTAGCGGAGGTGATGGTATCCCAGCTGAGCTATTCAAAGCCTTAAAAGATGATGCTGTTAAAGTGCTGTACTCAATATTCCAGCAAATTTGGAAAACGCAACAATGGCCACAGGATTGGAAAAGGTCAGTTTACATTCCAATCCCAAAGAAGGGCAATGCCAAGGAATGTTCAAACTATCGCACAATTGCACTCATTTCACACACTAGCAAGGTCATGCTCAAGATCCTACAAGCTAGGTTTCAGCAGTACGTGGATAGAGAACTGCCAGAAGTACAAGCTGGGTTTCAAAGAGGTGGAGGAACTAGAGATCAAATTGCCAACATTCGCTGGATTGTGGAGAAAGCAAGGGAGTACTGGAAAAACATCTACTTCTGCTTCACTGACTACGCTAAAGCCTTTGATTGTGTGGATCACAACAAACTATGGCAAGTCCTTAAAGAGATGGGAATTCCAGACCACCTCAGATGTCTCCTGAGAAACCTGTATAAGGGTTAAGAAGCGACAGAACCAGATATGGAACAACTAATTGGTTTAACATATAGCCAAACACTAAAATCTACAGTATACCGGTTCTCAGATTCAAACATGGAAAATTAGGCTTCCCTGATAACCCTCAGTACCAGAGTTGAGTGGAATGGGGGTATGTGCATTTCCTGCACATGAGACGAAGAAGGAGTAAAAGGGTTGCTTGTTGCGGCAAATGTTTAATCAGCTTTTCTGGTGAAGATACAGAAAACGGATGGTGCATATCCATTATTATTATTAATCTAGCATAATTTTTATATTGCCTGTTCGCCAAGGATCTCAGGATGGTGTACTTTGAGCTTCACAACCACCCTGAAAGAGAGTGTGTGTGACTGGTCCAAAAATCAGCTCCCTGGTGCATCAGAGAGGGGTCATGTCATAGAAAAAGAAGTGCAGGAGCTCATTAGCATAACTCATTAGCATAACTTACTTGCATATGTCACACCCCCTGACATCACCAGAAGTGTGTCAGAAGGCAACACCCACTGCTCAGGCTCCACTGGACTGTTTGGATTGCTAGCTATGGGGGGGGGGGACATGCAGAACTGTCCTCACAGAGGAGGGAGAGCTTGTACCTGAATAAAACTTGGTCTTAAAGGTGCCACTGGACTGTTTTGGACCGGGGGGGCGGGGGGGGGGCTCTGCAGATTACCTGGCTGCTTCTTGCTCTGACTGAGGGCTGCTGGGCGCAGGGGGTGGGGCTTCTTGCATGTGCCCGCCCCCTGGGCTCTTTACTGCCGGAGCTCTGCTCCTGTGCGCTCCTGCAGGAAATGACCCCTGATAACCACTATATCACAGAGGTTCTCTGTATATCATATGTATATTCCATACACATGTATGTGGTGTTGGTGGGAATCTGAAGTCATCATAAATAGATAATCCAGTGCTTGTTTCAGCAGCACATGTACTAAAATTGGAACAATACAGAGAAGATTAGTATAAATAGGTAATTCAGAGGCACTATGCTTTTAGGACTCTTTTTAAAAAGCCTTTGTACCACACAAGGAAATGCACCCTGTGTATGTTTGGAGGCATTCCACCCTTGTGTTTCTTAAAACCCCCCACCTTATTCTTCTCAAGAAATTGCAGTCAGTAGGTATTGTGTTTATTTGTGTGCATGTGTATAATTGTATTTATTTGTGTGAGTAAAGTGCTTTCAAGTCACAGCCAACACATAGAACCCAGCGGGATTTTCAAGGCAAGAGACATTCAGAGATGGCTTGCTAATTGCCTGGCTCTGTATAGCAACCCTGGAATTCCTTGGAGGTCTCCCCTGTAAATACTAACCAGGGCCGACCCTGCTTAGCTATCAAGATCTATCTTCTTGTTTTAAATACATACATATCCAGTGGCCACTTACCCTTATTTCCCTTTAAACCTAAACCCACTTTCTGCCATTTAGGAAAAGGCTTTCTTTGCAGGCCCGTAGCTAACATGGGGCCCGCGGGGCCCGGCCCCCTCGTGTTTCTTCTGGGCCACCTCCCTCCCAGGCTGGGCCGCTTTTCCCTTCTGGCTGCTTTCCTCCCGGCTTCATGAGGTCCGGATCAGATCAGCTGCACAGCAGATCAGCTTCACTCCTCCCGGAACCTTAAGCGACGCATGCGCTTTGGGACATGGCGATTTAAAAAGCAGCAGAGCGATAGGCGCGACCGGCTGCCCCTCTCCTGGTTTAGGAAGGTGCGGACGCCCCCCTCCCAACAAGCCCGCCTCAAACACACGCGGTGCGGCCTGACTATAGGGGACGTTGCTTGAAAATATGACCTAGGGCGATTCTGCATCTAACATTCCCTCCACATTTTCTCAACGGGGAGGTAAAAGTGCTGGCGGTGTCAGCAGCAGCGGGCCCGGTGGGGGCGAGGTGTCCCGGGGGAGGCGGCTGTCTGGGGAGCCACCTCCTGTATTTCCATGTCAGTGCACCCCGAGAGGGAGGGAGATGGGGAAGCTTGGCAGGGCGCTCGCTAGTGGCCAGTCACCCAGGGAGGCAGAGGGAGAGCGCCCTGGCACGCCCACAAGACCCGAGGGTTCATCTGTGGTGTGAGGGCTGTCCCTGCTGTTGGTGGCGGTGCTCGCCTCCCCCCTCAGTTGCAACCTGTTCCACCAAAGTTAATTGAATTAACTGATTTCATTGGCTGGTGGCCCCCCGCCCCCCAAAAAATCTCCTTAGCTAGGGGGCTGTTTCTCTGTATATGCTTTATATCACTTCTGAAGAAGTGAGCAGTGACTCACAAAAGCTCCTCCCCTGCCACATATTTTGTTAGCCTTTAAGGTGCTACTGGACTCTTGCTCTTTTCTATTGCTATAGACAGACTAACGCAGCTACCCATCATGATCTATCTGTACATGCTTATTCAGGGACTAAGGTCCCCTTAAATAAGAAGACTCAGTAAAGAAAAGAAAAATTCTGGACCTGCACAGAGGGACTCTGCCTAGGGATGCCAGCCTCTAGGTCAGTGATGGCGAACCTTTAGAGACCAAGTGCCCAAACTGTGACCCAAAACCCACTTATTTATCGCAAAGGGCCAACACGGCAATTTAACCTGAATACTGAGGTTTTACTTTAGAAAAAACAATTCATACATTAACTTTAAATGATCCAAACAAAGTAAGGAAAGCAATCCCAAATGCTTTAATTTACTTAAAATTATTTGGCAGAGAATTCGACACTTTAATGAAGGTCTGGGCCTGGCTGGGGCGATGGCACGCGTGCCCACAGAGAGGGCTCTGAGTGCCGCCTCTGGCACCCGTGCCATAGGTTCGCCACCACTGCTCTAGGTGGACCTGGGGATCCCCTGTAATTACAGATGATCCTCCAGTCTACAGGGATCAGTTCCCCTGGAGAAAATGGATGCTTTGGGAAGTGGACTCCGTGGTATTGTACCCCACTGTGGTCCCTGTCCACTCCAGGCTCCATCCCCAAATCTCCAGTTTTCCAACCTGGATCTGGCAATCCGTGCCAGTGGCCAAGGGGAACCTGGCAACCTCTCCCTGAGTTGGCGCCACTATTTTGTTTTTAATTACGAAAGGTGGCCGCCTTCTCTCCCTCCCCTTTTCTCTTACTGACTCTCTTGAGAGTTCCAGGTGGTCAGCCCTGTTGGGTTTGAAGCAGAAGAACAAATTTAGAACTCAGTGGCACCTTTAAGACCAACAAAGCTTTATTCAAAGGTATGAGCTTTCGTTTGCATGCATCTGACCAAGTGTGCATGCCCAGGAAAGCTCATACCTTGAATACACCTTTGTTGGTAACCAAAGGTAATCAAAGGTGCCTCTGGAGTCTAAATATGTTCCTTTGAGCGTAAAAGGGAACGTGGAGAGGGCGTGGCTCGGGAAAAAAAAAAAGTACCGCTGGCGTCCCTGAGCGTGCGCAGTCGAGCGTGGTTTTTTTTAAAAAACCCTTTCTTGCCCGCTCTGGTTCCTCCTCCCCTCTTTTCGTCTCCGCTTGCTTCAAATCTCGCGAGAGGTCCAAGCCGGAGGCCCGGGCCAACATGGCGGAAGGTAAGGGGCGGCGAAGCGGCTCAGGGGGGCGTCGGTGGTAGTAGTGGCAAGGAGGAGGGGGGGGGGCTCGTCCCCGTCCGGCTCCTTGGCATGCTCGGGCGGGCTTGGCGGGACCTCTCCTGGAGATAGTACGGGGGCGCGGCGAGAGAAGAGTATGCAAGAAAAAAATGGGGAGGATGGGTGGGTGTGCCTGTCCACTTCCCGTTTTTCTCGGGGCGGCTGCGTGTGTGGGTGGGGGGTTACCTCAGGCCGGGGGGGGGGGGCGGTGATAACGGCAACCTGAGGAGTCGGCGGCTCTCCCCCTTGGAGGGGGTGTGAGTCGCGGCAGGGATGGGGTTTGCTTCCTCTCCATGAGGTTGAAGAGCGAGCGTGTAGCTGCCCACGAAGAGGGTGGGGTGGGGTGCCTTTTAGACAATCGATGCCCCCTCTCTATATTGGGGAGGCGGCCGGCCGAGCACTTGCTTTGCATGCAGACGGTCCTTGGCATCTCCAGGGGAAAGGCTCGCAGGTGCAAGAGAAGACCTAGGACCGGCTTTGCACGCAGAGGGTCCTTAGTGTTTCTAGGTAAAAGGATCTCAGGTGCGAGAGGAGACCTAGGACCGGCTTTGCATGCAGACGGTCCTTGGCATCTCCAGGTAAAAGGATTTCAGGTGCAAGAGAACTCCTAGGACCGGCTTTGCATGCAGACAGTCCTTGGCATCTCCAGGTAAAAGGATCTCAGGTGCAAGAGAACTCCTAGGACCTGCTTTGCATGCAGACGGTCCTTGGCATCTCCAGGTAAAAAGATCTCAGGTGCGAGAGAAGACCTAGGATCAGCTTTGCATGCAGATGGTCCTTGGCATCTCCAGGTAAAAGGATCTCAGGTGCGAGAGAAGACCTAGGACCGGCTTTGCATGCAGAAGGTTCTTGGCATCTCCAGGTAAAAGGATCTCAGGTGCAAGAGAAGACCTAGAACCAGCTTTGCATGCAGATGGTCCTTGGCATCTCCAGGTAAAAGGATCTCAGGTGCGAGAGAAGACCTAGGACCGGCTTTGCATGCAGAAGGTTCTTGGCATCTCCAGGTAAAAGGATCTCAGGTGCAAGAGAAGACCTAGGACTGGCTTTGCATGCAGATGGTCCTTGGCATCTCCAGGTAAAAGGATCTCAGGTGCAAGAGAACTCCTAGGACCGGCTTTGCAGCAGACGGTCCTTGGCATCTCCAAGTAAAAGGATCTCAGGTGCAAGGGAAGACTTAGCGTCTGCTTTTTGTGCAGAAAGGCCCCTGGCATCTCTAGGTAGAAGGACCTCAGGTGCTGGGGGAGACCTTCCTTCACCTGAGAATCTGGGAAGCTGCTGTTAGCTTGAATAGATGATGCTGAACTTCTGTGGCTTGTTAGCTTGTCATGGTAGAAGTTTCAAATGTTCATCTCTGGCGCCTTTCTTGTGTCTTGTTTTAATAGCTATGGTACTTGTGATGTTATGATTTTATCCTACTCCTTTGTGAGCTCCCTCAGTATGGTGGTGTGTAAATTTTCTGAGTGTATCATTCTAATAGCAAGGATGAGGTCTTAAGAGCATGGCCTGAGAGATGTGTCGTGAAGCAGAACTCCACAAAAACCAGTGTGTTTGTTTTCTCCATCCTTTTTTTCTTTTATAGACAAGTAGGGATGGTTTTCTTCCAGGTTTTGAGTTTTGTGTGCTGGTTTTCTGTGAGGTAGGGTGTTGAGAAAATCTAGAAAGGAGAGGAGGTTGGTGTTCTGCTTCTCCCTTATGATACTGTTTAACCTACCAAGACTCAGTACCACATATACATGACTATCTTATTCCTACCCCTCCCTTTTTATTTTACTATATTCTTGTGTATTTTGTAAAATTCCAGTTCATTAAAAATTGAGGATATGATGCTATTCATGCTTACTTTTCCATCTTAGTGAGTTCAGCAATTACAGATGGATAGCTGCATAAGGAGCAAAAATAGGAGTCTTGTGGTGCCCTTAAAAACTAAGATTTATTTTGTTCCTGCTTGTAATTCCACAGAAACTGCCTGCCTTCTGTGTATGACCCTGTGGTGCCCACAAACTTCCTCTTTCTGTAAAGCCCAGAGAAGTTGGTGGTACACCACCAGATCCCCCATAATTCAGGTTTCCGGGCATTAATGAATTCTTGGTGGTTAAATGGTTCACAGCTGTCCTGTTTACTTTGAAAACTTACCCACCCACATTTGCTGTGCTTATCTATGGCTATCTGCTCACTCAGGACGCTGAAAGCAAAAACAGCTCAAGTACAAGGACCTCAGAGTTTAGAGGAAAAGGAAACCTTAAAAGCCAATCCTCTTTTAAATAGTTTCTTTGTTCTTCCTGTTTTTCCGATGGGACCTTCTGGGGAAGTCAAAATGGTAATGTGCATAAATCACACTGAAGCCCTGGCTTGTGTGAAAGTCATGCCAGATCTGCAGAATTACAACATTTTGACATGTACGGGACTATTGCATAATTTTCAGCTTTTGAACTTTTTGGAACACCAGCTGCCTGTAAGCTCCTTACAGTATTTAAAAGAGTTTCTCCGCAGAAGTGTCTTCTGTGATGGAATTTGGTCACAGTTAAAGCACTCCTAAGCAAAGGTTAAAAAGCTAAAAGGTGTTCTGATCAAAAACTTGAGTGCTGTGTTAGCAACTAAATTGGTGCGAGGGATGTCGTATCTGTCTTAAATATTCATTTTTATCACACCCTTTCCCCAAGGTGATCAGGGAAGTGTGCATTCTTTTCCTGTCCTCATTTTGTTCTCACCAGAGTCCTGTAAGGTATACATTGAGAAAGTGATGGCCCAGGTCATCCATTGAGCTTCATGGCAGAGGAGGGATTTCCCAGTAGTGCAGTCCTAAACAGAGTTGTACCCTTTGAAGTCTATTGAAATCAATGGGATTAGAAGGGTGTACCACAGTTTAGGACAGCAGTGCACGTCTCCCAGTTCCTAGTCTGACATTCTAACCAGTATACTGCCTTGTTACTATATTTCTTTCAGTGTGTAAAGTCCTGTATAACTACTTTAGCAGGTTAGGATGAAGGTGAGTATGGTAACCAAAACTTCCATTGGAGCCACGGCTAACTAAGGATTAAACCTTGGTTAGCTGAACTGCAAACCTGATACTTCTGTACCATACTGACTCCTCCAAATCTGTAGAATATATCATATCCACTTTGTGTCTTCTTATCTGGGAAAGCAACATCAGGATTACAGTTGAAAGAAATTAATTATCCCTCCTAAGTGATGAGGAAGTCCGGAAAACAAACAAAACTAGGAGCGGTGAAAGGTTTTCAAAAATTGTTCTGTTTTTTTCAGACTGAAGAACTGGAAAACTTGGGATATATTTTATAAGTAATTATGAATAGTTCTTTCAGAACAAGTCAAATGATTAAGGAAGGGTTTCTCAGTGTTTTGCATTCAAAATACTTTATAGTAACTATGTAGAACATTCTACAGTACTGATTGCGTATCTTAGACGATAGAGATATATAACTTAAATCCTACTTAGATTCCTTTAGCTACTGCAGGATGCCAAAGAAACTGAAAATACCCACATACAATCTAAAAACAAGCTTACCTATAAAACAGTTCTTTCCCCATTCTCTGCAGACTATGGTGATAAAAATGAAAATTCAAAGCTGGAAATTTAGCTGATTTTTCAGAAATTGATTCTGATTAGAAGAAGAAACTTGATGGTAGTATTTTGAAGAATGTTTAAATAAGTGGTTCATGTTATCGGTTCTGTGCAGGGTTACAGCACTTTTGCCTGCGTTGGTACGTAACTGAACACATCAGCATTATCCCAAACCTTAACTCAGCCTCTTAATATATGGATAGTTCTTGATCTGTTGATGCTGGGAGAAGAGGTAGGGGCTTTTGTCACTGGGACTGAAAGCCATTCCCAAGAGGGATTGTTGCTTGTGGCGAATACATGTAGCCCACTGTCACTTGTTTTTTTTTAAAAAAAAAATCTGTGGGTCAACTTTTCAGTCTTCCAGAACACTCAATGTTTGTTCTGTGTAAGCTAGCATTATCCAGCAGAGGAACTTGAGAGAGACTCCAACAGGAAACTGAATTAGAATTAATGATTACGTTGCTAGTATTGGCCAGGGATTCAACCCGTCTGATAGTTCTTTTCATTCTCTCAGTAGCTGTTACATTGCTTCATGTAGCAAAGTTTTTCTGTTATCACCACCTACATTTGGCTGTAGCTGTGCCTATCTATATTTTCCAGTTTTGCACACAAATGTAAAGAAAATATTTTTAGTGTTTGTTTCCCCCCCATTTTGGGGACTTTATGATTCACTTTGCATTTGATGACAGAGTCAGGCTGCTGAATTTATTTTATTTTATTTATTTTATTTATTTGATTTCTATCCCGCCCTCCCAAAGGCTCAGGGCGGTTCACAGGCGGCAAAGCCGGAATATAAATACAATAAGACATACAATAAAATACACATTTAAAACCACAGTAAAACCATCCTATAACACGGTGCTATATTAATCAACCAAGATGGGAACAACCACCCAACTTTGGTGGCCAGCTATCCCGGTAGCGCGGTCTCCCGCTATGCTGTCTATAACTTCTGCCAGGGCTAGTGGTGGCGGTGGCAGCTCCTACTCAAACGCCTGGCGGAAGAGCTCTGTCTTGCAGGCCCTGTGGAACTGCATAAGGTTCCACAGGGCCCGGATCTCCTCTGGGAGCTCGTTCCACCAGGTAGGACCCGCCACCGAAAAAGTCCTGGCCCTAGTAGGGGCAAACTTAATCTCTCGGGGACCTGGAACTTCCAGGAGATGGCGGTTTCCCGATCGTAGTGCTCTTGAGGGAACATACGGGAAGAGGCGGTCCTTCAGGTAAATGCTTTATCAAACTTCACTTTTCAATGATCTTCACACAGTTTAAATCACCACAAGGGTATCCATACATTCAAATCCATACATTCAAATTGGCTCACAAGGCTCCTATACACAAAAGTTCTTTCCCATCGTCATTCAGG